ATTCAATAGCTATTCTTTGGAGTTGGTTACTTACTGACAGTATATCGTGTTTCTTTGGTGCTACTGCATGTCCCTGATCCTTCATGATACTTGTAGTCTTGTGTAAGTGTGTGAGCATTTGAAGAAACACTCACCTTTTCCAGACTTTATGAACTGGATTCATTAAGGAAAATCCTTCACCTATGGGTAGGTGAGGGTGGGGAAGGGTAATGCTGGACAGCGCTGTGGCACCATGCTTAGTGCCTAGTGTATGGTGGCTCCAGGTCTTGGAGAGGGATGCAATGTCTTATTGGTTCAGGAGCTGAGGTCTGTAACATTTGCAACTGTGTGTACCTTGGTGTGGCAAAGGCTGTGGGAGGTCCACAGTGTCTGACAGGACTGTAGGTATACTCAGTGGTGCCCTGGGTCCAGTGACAAAGGACTGGTGCACCCAGCAGGGGGAGTCTGGGCCATTGGTGTGTTCATACTCAGTTGTGGACATACACATAATGGTTAGGGCTGGGGCAGAGCCAACTGTGGTTATATGGTGGCTGATGGCATATACATACATGACTATAGCAGTCAAGGCTCATGGTATACATGTGTGCAATTGTAAGGACCAGCTGCAGGCACCCATGTGGTGGGGGGGGTCACCAACAGGAGTTAGGCCAGCTACATATGCATTTGCAGCTATGGGGATCAAGCTGGAAGTGTACATGTATGCAGCTGCAGGGGTGAGCTGCAGGTACAAGCACAGTGGTGGGAGCCAGGGACAAAAGTTGGGTTTGCACATGTACAGCTGTAGGAGCCAGGGCTGGTGAGAAGAATGCATGTAGGCACAGAAGCCAGATACAGACATATTTTCAGCTGTTAGACCTGGTGATGGGAGTTGGGGCCAGCTGCTCAGGTACACACAGCCAAGGGTTAGTTACAGGTACACACGTGGTGGTGACAGATGGATATTTGTCTGGAGCCCAGGCCGTTTTGGGGCATATGTGTAGTGGCTTCCCTGGGTTCCTGGGTTGGGGTGTCTATAATGGCAGCGCTAGGGAAGTTTTGGGGAGAGGAGAAGAAGAGAGGTGGTAACTCAAGCACCTAGAAACTGCAAAAGTGAAAAACTGTTGGTTCCTCAGCAAAACTTGTGAGGGGCCCCTGTGGCTGTACTGGTTGTTGGTTTCCTCAGTGGCAGAAGCTGCTGAGTTCCATAATAGTAAACATTGTGGGCTCCTTGCCAGTGAAAACCAGTCAGGGGTGTGTGGTGGCTGTGAGGCTGTCAGGATCCTGAGGGTAGAAGACAGCTGGGGTCCTATGCAGAGCAGCCACTGGGGACCCTGGTGGCTCCTGCGACATTGCTGATACTGATAGCGCCACGCTTCTTTGTTCCCAGATGTCTCCAAATGTCTCAGTCACGCTGATCTCCCCAGCTATTTGGGGTGGGGTGAAACTGAAAGAGGTCCTTTGGGGGAGTGTCCTGAAATCTCAGGAAACTGGTTGTTCATCCCATTATGTTTTCTCTTCAAGGGTAACTTTTGAGCTAAGGAGTTCTCTCTCTGTGCTAAGCAATGCTGGTCTGGGGGATGAGCTGATGCAAGCAAGATGAAACTGTTCTTCCTACTCTTTTTGTGCAATTATTCTCATTGTTTTTCTTACACTGTGTTGCTGTATCTTCTCAATTGGACTCCTGAGCTCTCCTACATCTATTTTCTTTCATAGATAGCTGTCTGATTGTACTTTGTGGGGGAATGAAGGCTGGGATCTCCTTCTCTGCCTTTTTGCTGACATTGCCCCATACTTTGTGTTTGCAAAGTTAAACACCACTGCCATGCACTCTGTAAGTTATCATCAAGGAGGTGCGATCTGATGGAAAGGCCTTGGGGCTCACACTCAGGAGACCCGGGTTGAGTCCTAGCTCTATCACCACTGTGACAGTGTTATTAGGCTAGCTCTTTATGTTTTAGGATTCAATTTTGAGGACCCAAGCTCTGCTTATCTCAGAAAAACTAGCTAGCGGATGAGGCCATCTCAAATAGATCCAGAACTTTCCAAGAGGAAGGTGATATGATGCACTCATAGCTACCTGCTCATAATTTAAGCCTGGTAAAGAAATCTCATGTCTCAGTCACCCAGGTAAATATTTAATAACTATGGCACCATTAATTGAATGCTCTCTGTATGTCAGATACCCTGCAGCAAACATTATCCCCACACACTGCTTCTCCTTGAGTACTCACAACCCCACAATGAGGTAAGGACTGATAATGCCATAATTTCATGCGGAGGAATTCAAAGGGAGGGAGTCTGAAGGCCTCTGGCAGGAAGAGGGTGAGTCTCTGGTTAAAGCCAGGTCAGGCTGACTCCACACTGTGTCTTCTATTCTCCCTGCTGCTATTCTTTACCCCACAAGCAAACAGCCTGGAAGGTTGGAGGGGACAGGAGACATCTATCTGAAGCCATGGGGCAGGGGAAACCTAGGCCTCGATGAGCAGGCTCTAAATTCAGCAGCACTTTCCTTATGAGCATGCAAAATGCTTCTTCAAGGAGCCAGAAAGGTCGCTCAGAGAAACTGATGGATAAGGGCCAATTGGGAAGCTCATTAGAATGGGAGCCGTCTCTGTGTCTGCCCCTTGGTCCTGCTTCATTACCTGGAGGACTGCTTCTGTACACCTCGCTATCGGGGGCCCACACTCCCTGAGAGTGCCCATTCTTCTCTTCATCTTAGATTGTAAACCAGCATCAGAGGCACAAACCTGGCAAAGGCCCATTACTCACTTTTAATGAGACAGCCAGGGAGATAAATTGGCATATGTTAGCAAAATGGCTCATCAAGGTGAGTAATTATCTTCATGACTGGGGCAGTTTACCCTCCAAAGAAAGAATTTGCATCTCATCTCTCACTGAGCTGTGGCTCTTCAGAACTAGGGCAGGAGGCCAAGTAGAGTTTGACCACTGAGCACAGACACCTCCACTTGTCTAGTCTTGCTATTCACCATGGACTTGTCACTCCCCAAATTCCAAAGCTTTTATGGAATACGCTGCACAACTGATTATATAGAAAAAGAAACCCATAGGAGACAAATACAAAGAAGTTGTTCTATATTTTATGGAGCGGTGTGTGCACATGTGTGCCTCTGTGGTGGGGACAGGCTAGCCATTTCACAGAGCCTGTGGGAGAAACTATCAGGGAATGGTTCTGACAGGCTCTACTAATTAAAATTACCTTCTTCTTAGTTTTGAGCCAAACTTTAATTAAAGTCCTATATTTCCTCCTTTACTTGCTCGTACATTGACATTGTGGCCTGTACAATTATCTCGTGGTGTCCAGGTATGTAATTGTCTTTTCCCCATGTTTTAGCATTTTAGAGGGAAATTATCTTATTATTATTTTTTCTGTCTTATGAATATTAGTTCTGTCTTCCCAGACTGATCTGAAGTTACTTAAAGACAGGGATGAGAGTGTCTCCTTGGCTTCTAGCCCCTATGGCATCTGCCACAGTCTCAGGGTGCAGAAGACAGTGCCATAGAGTAAGTTTCTACCTGGTCTCAACATCAAGAAGTGTTGGGTTTCTCCTGAAGGTGTACAAGCAGGTGGCTGAGGCTATTTTCCTCTAGACATTGGCTATCAGGAGGTACAGAGCTAATTTGTTGCCCAACCCTGGTTCATGGCATGCTTTGTGCACCAACTTCACCCTTGCTGCCACTGGATTTTCTATTTTTTTCCACTAGATGATGAGCTGTATGTGGACAAGCCCATGTCTATTTTGAGTTCCACTCTATCTTCTTTCCAGTATTCAGCACCATGCCTGGCACTCAATAATTACAGAGTGAATGGAGTTTGAATTTGGCAACTTTTGCGTCTTTGTGTGCTACTTAAATCTTATTGGAAACAAAGTAGGAAGAACATACAAACACCCACAAACTCACACTAATAATTAAACAATGTACTTGGCAAATAATTACACTTGATTTTAGCTGTTGAAGGTGTTGGAATTTACAGTTAAAGTGGGCTGAGTTGCTGGGCCTCTGGTTGTGGTGTTTATACTACAATGAGTTTTCTATTCATGGTGATGGGGAAATGTCCAAATGGCTTTATAGGAATGCTTTCAGTCTTGCTCAGTCTGGGATTGCATTATCATGGGAGGGTTCTTTCATTCTTCATTCTCACTGGGGTTGAAATTCTCAAAAAGGACATTGGCAAGAGCTTTATAAAATCCTAAATGAGGCTGGGCGTGGTGGCTCATGTCTGTAATCCCAGCACTTTGGGAGGCCAAGGTGGGTGGATCAGGTGAGGTCAGGAGTTCAAAACTGGCTGACCAACATGGTGAAACCCCATCTCTACTAAAAATACAAAATTAGTTGAGCATGGTGGTGCACGCTTGTAATCCCAGCTCCTCAGGAGGCTGAGGCAGCAGAATCACTTGAACCCAGGGGGTAGAGGTTGCAGTGACTGAAGATCACAACATTGTACTTGGGCGACAAGATCACGACATTGTACTTGATGCGACACTGTCGCTTGGGCTATAAGAGCAAAACTCTATCTCAAAAAAAAAAAAAAAAAAATCCTGAATGAATCTATGGTTTAGAAGGTACTTCAAAAGTCCCACCTCCTCTCTTAGCATCTCTTCATCTGGGGGCAATAGGGCTGGTATTACGACTTACATAGGAAAGAGACCCAGATACGGCCAAGCTGATGGCATGACTCACTTCTGGATGACAACTGGAAAATTTGACCAGGAAACCAACCATCTTCAGTATCCAGATGTGTGGCACCGTGAGTTGTACAGACTACATTGAGTGAGTAGGTTTCTGAGGTTTCCTGAGGGTGTTTTAGACATGTCAGGGCTGCTAATCAGATAAGGCCATTCCCTCAAGCATGGGACTGAGTTCTGGGTTATGGAGCTTAGACCAAACATGGCAAGGGAGGCATAACTTGCCAAGCACATTCAGAGCCCTGTTTGGGCCTTCAGAGTGGAGGTGGTGGATTTGTTTTCCTGATCCCACGGGGGTCCTCTGAGGATACTTACCATTTCTGTCGATGGCAAAAGGCACATCTGTGGTGACGATTTCGTAGTTGCAGATCTGGCTGTACTGGGGGGAGCAGTCCTCATCAACAGCCTCCACCTGCAGAATGCTGTCATAGATCTTGCCCTCCGTCACAACAGCCTTGTAGGCTGGCTCTTTGAAGGTGGGAGCAAACTCATTGACATCCTTCACCTGGATATGGACCACGGCCCTGGGACCACACACAGAAAGGAAGAGATGGTGGTAAAGAAAGAGTCATACCAACCTCCTGCACCTCCTGGGGGCACTGACTGAGGTCCCAAGGCCAAGTGAAAGGAGAAACCACCAGCTGGTTGAGGCAGTTGTCTGAGTGTCCCATCCTCCCTCTCACTGGAGACTCTCTACTTGCCCTTGCTCTGACGCTGTGAGATGAATCCATCCCAGAGAGACTTTTATGCCCTTCCCTCTGCCCCAGCTTTAGGCAACAGGTTTACTGTTCATTCCTCCCTCTATTCATCCACTCCTTCATTCAGTCAGAATTTAACCCCTCTTACTCTGTTAGGCTCTGAGATGAACTTCATAAGGGAGAAAGCAGTGACAACCCACAGTGAAAAGTGCTGTGACAGAGAGCAGCTTCTGGCACTGCAGAGGTCCAGGGAAAGGTCCTGACCAGGTCTGCGGGGGTGGGCTGGCTTAGGGAAGGCTTTCTGGAAGAAGTGACACCTAAACTCAGACCTGAGGGTGAAACAGGAATATCTTCCAGTGAAGAAGAGGGAGTAGAATATTCCAGGTGTAGAAAGCAGACTGTGAAGATGCCTGCATGGGACCAGGAAACTGGCGAACAGTTGAGCAAAGTTGGAGCACCATGGTGTGACAAGGGGGTAAACATATCTGAGGAGCAGCATGTGAATGAAGTGGGGTGGGCAGGGGAAGGAGGGGCGTCCAGAGGGCTCTGTCAGGCCACTCACTTGTGTGACTTTTTCCAGGCCGTCTCGCGGGGCCCAGCACCACAGTCATAAGCCTGGATGATGAATGTGTACTCCTTCTGCAACTCACAGTCAATGGGGCTCTTGGCACGGAGCCGGCCCTCTCCTGATGTCTTGTTGAGCACCACAGCCTCAAAGGGCAGCTCCTGGCCATGGATCTTGAATGCACAGATTTCCCCTGCAGAAGAATGGAAAACAGTGAGTGGGAATACTGAGAATTGCCAGATTGAAGACAGTGCTTCCATTGGACCAGATTCACAAACTCAAACCCTCCATGCAATTTCTTCCATGCACATACTGTGGTCCCTGAGCTAGCACCATCAGCATCGCCTGGGATCTTCTCAAAAATACAGAATCCCAGGCCTCACCCAGACCTCCTGAACTGAATCTGCATTTTAACAGGATCCTCAAGTGATGGGTTTGCTCACTGATGCATGAGCAGCACTGCTTTTCTCTTTCCTTTACTCCTGGTTTAAACACTGCCTACATTACTGCAGCAAAATTCCCTCTACCTCCCCCACTTCTCCATTTTCTGTCTCCAGCTACTGTTTCCCCTTCCAAGCTGCAGTTTTCTCTTTTGAAACAGTGGGAGTGAGTCTATGTGAGTTCCAGAGCCCCTGTGGAGCCTGAAAAGCTAACATCTTATAGAGCTGAACATGTTGTGAAATTAATGCATTTCTCTCCTTCAGCTGGGTTAATGTTTATTATAACTATTTCTATGCATTAAAATTATAATGCCATGAGAATATCTCTTTTTTTCTCAATCAATGCATGTTTATTTATTAAACCCCAACTGCATGCAAGACCTGTAGTAAATGTCTTGAGAAGTGCTGAAAATTTGAGACATGTCCTCTTTTCCTATTGAGAAAATGTACAGACTTATTAGAGAAAAGAGTTCAGCTATAGGCTTCAAGGCAGCAAAACAGAGGACAAGAGCCTAGAGGTCTAGATTCACATTCCAGGCTTTCCACTTACTAGCTGATTGGCTTAAATCAAATGATACTGACCGACTGGGCCTCTCCTGTGTCATCTGTTAGATGGTCCCAGAGATGGTGGTGGGGTGGGGGGCATCTATCCTAAGATGCTCCAGCCCTGATCTGACACTGCCTCAGCTACACTGCTGAGGCCAGGGAGGGGCAAGCAGGGTACCTAGGGTGCATCATTTAATGAGGCTTTGCTCTCAGAGTAACTCAGGCACCTTCTTGCCTCACCCTAGTCCAGGTCCTGCCCAACTATTCATAAGAGCTGACCTAGTGAAGAGAAGGGACGAGATGATTGCATGTTTGCTCTGCACCAGGCACCAAGCTTTATACCCCTTCCCAGAGAACCTCATTTGACCTTCATAAGAAACCTGCAAGGCAAGTATTTTATATTAATTTATTCAAATTTTTAAAAAAGGAAGAGAAAAATCAGAAAGGTTAAATATTTGCTCAATGTCACAGAGCTAAACTTAAGTATTAAACCTAGGTATGGCTGATTCCTAAGTCCATGTACTCTACCCCACCACACCATCTCCAAACAGCCCCATAACTTCTAAGGAACCACCCCATGGATTGCCTGAAGAAACTGTCTATATTCCAGTTCAAGTCTCATTCAGCAAAGAAATCCTCTGATTTACCTATAGGAATCATGCCATGATCTCTTACTAACAATATTTTCCGAGATGTTCAATCAATACCAATCTTACCTTTATGCTTTTCAAAAAAAATTTCATTGATCCTCAATTTCATTATTAACATTCCCTTTTCACTACTACCCCCATCTCCCATCCCCCTGCCACCACCCCTCCTAGCCATTTCTCAATGTACTTGTGGAATAAATGGACAAGACAGGTTATGGACCCGGTTCCATCAGGACGGCTAGTTCCCATTCATTTCTGTTTTCTGGGATCACTTGGCATTTCTGTACTGCGCAATCTGACACGTTCTGCAGCCTCTAGGGCAGGAGAATAGGGTTTCTCAAACTCTCAAGTTTAAATTCTTCTCTAAATTAGCAGGTTGAATAGATGAACCTCTAAAGTACCTGCCTTGTGATTCTCTCCCAAGATCAATGCCAATATGAGAATATTATAAACAAATGTGTCTAGACTGTTTCTGGGGCATTCTCTGGAGTGCCCAACCACTGCCATGGTTATAAGCTAATCAGACCATTTATCTTTGAAGACTCAAGTTAAACCTAGAATAGATGAGTGTAATCTTCTCTTGGAAAGATCTGATCACAACTAAAGTAGTTTTCAAGATGCAGAAATCCTTAACAATAGAAAAGGAGAGGAGAGAGGGAAAGAAGACAGAGGAGAGGAAAGAGGAGATACAAAGGGAAGACAAGATAAAGTTTAGGTGACATATTTCCATCTACGGAACAATTCAATTCAATAGAACTAATTTTTCTGAGAGCTAAGTCTCAGGCACTGTGCTAGGCCTGGGGACACAAAGACTAACAAACCTTAAAATATAAGGCTGGTTTATCCTAAAGTACTTCTTACCTAGTAGAAATGACAGACAAGTAAAAAGGATAATACCTGACACTTGTGTTCTGGTTGCAAAAACATTCATTCATTTATTCATCCACCTCATAAATATTGATTCTTCTCATAAATATTTTTTAGGCACTATGTGCCAAGCACTGGTAAAGCAATAACAAACAAAAATAGACCCAGCCCTGGCCTGTAAGTTACTTGCAGTCTGGTAGGAAGGGAAATAAGCAGTCAAATAATCAGTATCTGAAAGAAGGATGGTGGTTGTGATGAATACATTGAAGGAGAGTTATGTGGTACTAAAAGTATTCTGACCTGGTCAGGCAAGGCAGGGAGGGTCTCCCTAAGAATGTGGTGGCTTAGCACCCTTCAGCAGAAAGGAACATGGTGAGTCCAAGGGACTACAGGTCCAGTGTGGCAGGAGTGGAGGCCGTGGGGCAGGGCCAGCTTCACAGGCATGTGATCTAAGAGCCACCCAGCGTCCTGTGCTCAGAAGCATCCTGAGCTTGGTTTTAATCTCTGCTGTCTCTGTCCTAATTTTTTTTTTTTTAAGACGGTCTTGCTTTGTCACCCAGGCTGGAATGCAGTGGTGTGATCATAGCTGACTGCAGCCTCAAACTCCTGAGCTCAAGCAATCCTTTCAACTTAACCTCTTGAGTGGCTGGGGCTACAGGTGTGTGCTACTGACAACCAGCTAAGTTTTTTATTTTGCAGAGATGGGGGGTCTCATTATGTTGCCCAAGCTGGTCTCGAACTCCTGGCCTCAAGCCATCTTCCTGTCTTGGCTTCACAAAGTTCTAGGATTACAGGTGTGAGCCAATGTGCTCAGCCTTGAAGTTCTTAATAATTTTATCTTAACTTCTGTTTTGTGAATAAAGTGTGATGGGACAATGGAGCATGTTATGAGCGGAGGAGAAGGCTGCAATATGCATGTCCACCACATCTTGCTGCCCCATTTGCATATAGCATTCAGAATTCCCATGGACCCACAACGTGTAGGACTTCAGTGGGACTCAGAGTGAGAACAAGATAATCATGTTATGTCTTCAACTGAGTAAGTAGGAAACTGACCTCCCCAAGAGGCCACACTTTCCCTTTGATCCAGAACTTGTTTCAAATGCAAAAAGAGAGAATGGAAAACTAAGAAATGTGAACAACCAAGGAACCCTGTTGTAGCCTTCCTTATTCATATTACATCCTGTATTAGCCAATCACTTACACTGAAAATGATGGTGGAGGGGAAAAGGGAATATCAGACGACCTATTGCTTTTTTTTTTTCTTCAGGCTGCCCTTGCTATCAGTAACCCAAAGGTAGAGAGTAATATTCACATGAACATAAAGATGGGGAATAGACACTGGGGAATACAAACAGGTGGAGGCAGGCAGGGAGGCAGGGGCAGGAAAACTACCTATTGGGTGCTACGCTCACTTTATTGGTGACGGGATCAATCATACCCCAAACTCTAGTACCAAGCAATGTACCTTTGTAACAAACCTGAATATCTACCCACGGAATCTAAAATAAAAGTTGAAAAAGAAAAAAAAGGAAGTGAAATGAAAACAGTTGAGTTTGTTTTGTGTAGTATTTATACTGTTGTGATAAGAATTAAATACATATGTATACATGAACTATAAAATACAAATTCTGTAATTTTGGTATTCTGCATGCTAGCTAAATACTCTTATATTTGTATTTTAAAATAGGCATTGCATAATAGAAAAGGTAAAATTCAAGCTAATAATTTCAAGTTTTAAATATATCTTTACTTAGAACTATACCAACCAGAAGATTTAAAACATCATGACAAGTTGAAACAGACTTCTGGAAGAAAGGTCCCAGGATGAAATTCTAGATAGAAAGATATTTAAAAAACCAGTTCTCAGTGTCAGTGTAAGACACATTAGGCTGTCTTGTGTCTTATACAAGAACTTTTTTTGTGAGGCCTGTCACTGGAATTTGTCATTATACTAACAGAGCACTGCAGTGGGAGGACGATATATTTAAAAGTAAAAGATCAGACCTAATGGTTTTCATATAAAGATATCACTTTCAAAATCTTGCCCTCCAATATGCTTTTGGGTGGGAGAACTACTACTGTGCCGGGAATTGTGTGTAGACAACACACAGATGAGCATGGGTGTGAGGTTAGCCATGGGCTGTGTGGAAAAGGAGGCGAGCAGCACCAGGTCACCAGGCCTTGGCTGCCATCTCACATGGGCTGTGGGCCAACGTGGCTGAACTGGGGCTTCACCAACAGTCCCTTTCAGGGCCAGACCAGAAGATGAGCCCCTGCTGTGCCTGAGTGAGACATGACCACTCTAGACCCTCAGTCCTGTGAGCAGGTATCTCACAGTTACCTGCTTCTCAGCAGAAATGCACCTCCTAAGACACCAGCAGAAGTTGGTGTAGTTGTCTTCTAATACCTCACATAGGATTCTGAGGGAAAGGTCTTTAACTTGATTTTTAGAGCACATTTTGCTCCTTCCTTTGAATACCTTTGAACAACAAAGTAAGTTGATTCAATTTTTTAGATGAGGAAACTGAGCCTCAGAGAGAGTAAGTGTTCATCCAAGGTCACTTTGACAGCATAAAGCCAACTAAGGACTAAAATCTTGGCATCTACGGTCAGCACACTTGTTGCTCTTTCATGCAGCCTATCACTTACTGGGTGAGTGTGAGGTTCTAGGACAGTGGTTCTGAGTG